TCACAACGGCTGTGCTGCCACAGCTGATGGAAACCATGACTTTATTCTTTGTTCTGCTTCTTAGTTTTTGTTTACTTTCTTTTTTTTTTTCAATGATAGAAATGGTCTTATTTGCCACTCGCAGGACTATTACCGAATTAGGTTCTTGAGTTTGCATGTCACGGACAAACATGGGTCTGGTTACGTGCTTTACGTGCTGTGTTGGGTGTTTTTGTAGTTTTACCAACTTACGTCCTGTGACTATTGTTCTGTGTCTGATCTCCAGCATTTTAGCAAAACTGCAGATTATGAGGAGATGATTTACCCTAACAGCCCCCTTCAGACCCAGACTGCATTGGGTTTTTAATAGTATCTATATTAACCAGGTTTATAGATTTATGACCTCTTTACTCGGGCTCAGGCTTCTGAAGCTAGGACGCAGGGAAGACCTTTAAGGCTCCAAACTTCCTGAAATTGAACTTCACATGTTACCTGTTCTGTGTGAAATGCTGTATATGCGCCCCCCCCCCCACGCCCCTCCCTGGAAGAAGTGCCAGACTGATGCTTATAGGGTGGCATCTTTCTGTTCTTGAGTGAGCTCAGGGCAGGAGCCTCGTGTTGCTGGTGGAGGTTCCCCGCAGTCCGGACGGCTCTGCAACATACGTATCCAGCAGCAGAAATGAGAATAATTTACAGTCTGGCATGAACCACTCCTGTACTCCTTAGTTCCAGCGCCCTTGATTAGCTGCTTTAATTAAATGTGCCTGTGTCAAGATCCGATCAGGATGTTTTATTTCTGACCCTCTCCTTAACCACCCTTCTCCTAATCATCCTGAGTGAGTTAGGAACTCGCTTCTACTGTGAGCTTTTCTTGACCCAGACCTGATACTTACCTCATTCCAGTTTTTTCTTCAGTACTTACTTCACATAAAAGCAGTCTGAAATTAAGTTATGTACACGATCATTTTCACCAGAAGGCCTAGCTGGTTTAAGACTTGGTGTGTCATCTTTTCTCTACTCCAATCTTGAAGAATATGGGTAGTTTCAGGAGCCTCAGCTTTTCCCTGGAGCGGGTGGCAGCTGATGCTTTCTTTCACACACTGTAGATGTGAGACAGCTCCTTATTGTTTTTACTCGGAAAAGCTAAAGGATATTAGACAACATCACCAGTTCATTGTGTCTCTGGCTTGAATTAAATGGACCAACCAGGATCCAAGAATATTTATAACTTGGCTAACTGAGTGTATTTCTTCCCCCTCCTATGTGGAAGTCGGACATAACCCTTCTAATGTTAAAGATTGTTGAGAGACCGGATGGCTATGACTGTTGCCCTTTGTGATGTCCCACTGTAAGATGGGGAGTCATACCTACCTCCTAGGGTAGTGGTGAATTTTAAAGAAGTTAACTTTGGTAAAGTCTCTAGCACAGTGCTTGGCACATAGTAGGGTGTGTTAATTTCTTTCCCTTCCCTGCAGGCCATTCACCTGCTCTTCCCTCTACGATTTTCCATAACACAGTTTTTACTTGGAACCAGCCTTCTGCCAAGAGTCTCAGTTTGGTTGTGTACTCCTACAACTACTATTTTTGGCTTGACTTCCCTCTCCAGCTCCCAGTGGTCCAGCCACACAGTCGCCTATTGTACCAGCTGGTTGATGTAAGTCTATCCATCCTCAGAGGAACCTGGTTACTTACCAGTAAGCTGTGTTTCTCTGAAAATGTAGCATCCTTGGTAACTAATATAGTTGTTTTCTTTCTTTACCATCAATGATGGATTACCTACAACAACTTCCTTGTGTGATCCTCAAGTTGGAACTAGAATTAGAGAATTTAATTTGTTGATATTGGTCTCCTAGTGAGTTCCTGAGTCCAAGACATATGACTCTGATCAGGTAAAATGCTGTGGAGACCCATGAGGTCAAAATCCTTTTCAGTGCTCTGAGTGATATGAGACAATAATATAAAGTGTCAAGGATGATACATTTTCAAAGAAAAAAAGTTACTGGTAAGTAACTGGGATTTTTGAGTAATTTTCCTGTAAGTCAATAAATAAGAATTCCCAAACTTGTTTTACCAACAAATGCTTTTGCATTTGAATATTATTTCATAAATGAAAGGGATATGGTTATTAGTTAAGGTTAATAGTTAAAGAATGGGGTAGGTTTCTAGAGATACTACATAGATAATGAGGTGGGTATAGACCTTCAATTTGCTAAATAGGTGTTCTCTTAGCTTTAAAAAGAAATTGAAGTCGAAGTCTCCATTAGGGAAAAATCAGCAAATGCAGCCGGTTCGCTCCAGAAACATTTTTTGAGTGCCTACTCTTTTTTGAGACACTGTGCTGAGTATTGTTGCGAGACAGAGGTAAAACCACACTCGGCCACAGCCGCTTTGAGAGCTTATTTCCAGCCCCTTGGTGACACTTTTATGACTCAGAATTGAGGTGATGGGTCATGGGGGTATGGCAGGTGTGGGGTTGGAGATAGTACTTAGCGCTGCAGCCTTTGCTGTCTTATTTTCTGTGCTTCTCTAAGTTCTTTCTGTTAACGGAAAAGTCAGCTGACCTCGTTCAGTAGACTCAGAGCATTTTCGCTGTCACTAGAGCAAACAGGTGGAACAGAGCCAGCGTTCCTCCTGTCTGGTAGTTGAATAGGATATTCAGCAGTCCTCCCGTAAGTGTGACCTTGGATTTAGATATTAAAGCAGGTGAATAAGTCAGAGTTGGAGAAGCAGCTGCTCCCCCTCGCCCCCCAGGCTTTAAAGGGGGCCAGTCTTCAGAATTAAAATCACAGAATTAGTTTACCTCCACCACGTGTAGAACAAAAATCAAAAACTCCAATTTAATTGTTTTGCAAGAAATGAAATTAGTTTGTATTTAAAATCACTGGGTAGTGTATAGCACTTTATTCCGTAGTTATAACCACTCCTTGCCCCAGAGTGACCTGGTTAAGTAACTTAAGAAGAAGGAATGAAGACATGGTAGGAATAGGACAAGAGGCAGATGCTGGGGGAGGAGATGCCCTGTGACACCGTTGGGTGTCTCTTTTGCACAGCACCCATTGCACGGGCATCTCAGGGTGAGAACTAGAGCATAGGCATGAAGCTTGTGGGTGTTGGAATCAGACTTAGGCTTCCATCCTGGCTTGGTAATTTACTACCTTTCTGACTAGGCAAGTTATTTAACCTCTCTGAACCTCAGTCTCCTCCTCATTTTGTGAAATCGTGATGCCAAAGGCTAAGATGAGAAGTGGTTAAGAAAATGTATATAAAGCACTTAGCACAGTGCCTGCAACATAGTACGTGCTCAATAAATGTTAACTGCTGTTATTATTGGACGGATGGATGAGGAATTGCATCGGAGGCCAAAGAAGGAAACAGGGAAAGATTGCGGGTTCTGGAGTTTTAGTAAACTGTTCACACCTTCTTATTTACTTGAGCTATGAGCTTTCTAGTATTATCTTTAATCTTTGCCCTTGTGGAAAGCAAATTAATGGATTAATCACTGTCACAGTTCTTCCTAACTACTCTATCTTTAAACCTTCACTTCCACTGAGGAAGGAACTATTTTTGTGCTGCGGTGACTGTGACTATTGGAAGATTATCCCCCTGGCCTGAGGAAGTGCTGAGGGCCAGGTGGGCCTGGATGCCAAAGACTTCCACTCTGATTTCACCAAATCTAGACCCGCGATTTTTAAGTCCTCTTAAATAAAAATGAAACATTTAATAATTATGTGTGTTGTATAGACATGACTTTTTTGGTTTCATTTTACTATTTCAATTCTACTTCTTTTTGCTCTATTTTCATGGATTATATGTCCAGGGTATTTTTGAGAAGGCTCTGGAGACCTGATAATTGGGTAATGGTACTCTTTTAAGAAAAGCTGGATTCCTAGACAGGATGGAGAGTGCTGTGGTATTTGGGCACAGATCTTTACCGTATTTCATCAAGTCAAAGATGCAAACTTTTTAACATTTTAACATCTGAAACTGGCATGCATCTTAGAATCACTATGATAAGAAAGCATTGTGTTATAGTTTAATTGGCAACATTATTTTCTTAATGATACAGAAGATAATGGTGTGCTTTGAAATTGATGTCATCGTAGATTGGATGAAATATGGTATTTCAGGGCAATATATTTACTTAACCGGTATTAGAAATGTATAGAAATGTGGTATCGTGACAATATGTGTAGTGGGTAAGAGCAGGGGCTCCAGAGTCAGACGTTCTGGGTTTAAATTCTAGCCCTAACAGTGTATGACTTTGGGCCAGTTACGTATCCTTTCTCTATCTTAGTTTTCTCACCTGTAAAATGAGCGCTAAGAATAGTCCCCATCATACAGCGCTGTTATGAGGACTAAATATAAGATGTGTAAGTGTTTAAAATAGTGCCTAGCACATAGGAAGTGCTTAGTAACATTAGTTATTATTGTTAATAATTTAGAGATTACACTTCTGCAGAATTGATTTGAATCCATTTCGTTGTGATTGAAATTCAGGTCTATTACCTTTAATATTTGTGTATCATCTGATAATATCAGCAAATGACACTTGGGTTTTTAAAAAGGGAAGGTAAAGGTAAGAAAGTTTAACCTAACAAGTTTCTATATTCTTATTAAGATTTAAGTGGCATATTTGGTGTGTGTATATATATATATATATATATATATTATTCCATGTGGATGAGATGTAAATGAAATTAAGCAGTGAGGTAGAAAATTTATAGTGAAAGCAAGGAGCAGTTAATCTGAGGCCAACCTAAATATAGTATTTGATTCTTATTGATACTGGTAAGTATGGAAGGGGTTGGAAGGTTTTGAAAATTTGCAAAATCTGAAGCTTTTTCTATCACTAAGTAAAAGAGAGGAGAGAATCCTTTCTGGTTTTTATGAACTTACCGTCTCAGTAAAGAAATTTCTTTTTCAAAATGCTGTAAGTAGGCAGCATCTCTTTATAATATGATGCCTACAGCTTCAGGTTGTCCTTTTATTCTTACGAGTCAATTTTATTTTTTCTGTTCTAGTGTTCGGTGACCAGTGACTTGGATTTTCCAACACAAGTCATCCCGTTAAAGACTCTGAATGCAGTTGCTTCAGTACCCATAATGTATTCTTGGTCTCCTCTACAGCAGAATTTCATGGTATGTAAATAATGTGTCTTCTTATTTGGTAATCACTTCTTTTAAATGAAAAAGCATAGATAATTTTCTTGTCAAGGTGAGTTAAGATAGTATAAGTAAAAATAGCTATCGAAATGGGAGTACTTAGAGTAATTTTTTAAACCAATTAATATATGTATTTTTAAGCCTTTTTGGTGTTGGTGTTGCTCTTTTCTTAGTCCTTTCTAGTTAAAATATTCTCCAAAGGAAAAGTATTAAGCAAAAGCCACACCTGAGATTAAAAATATATTTAAAAGATGAAGCTTCTAGTTCTTATCCTTGAAGATGTTGGTCAGTATCCTGTAATCTCAGTCTGACTTTGAGGTTTTGTTAATTGAGAACGTATTATTTAAAACAATTTTAGGCAGCATGTTATTAAGTGATAACGTACACTATGAAATATTCTCAGGGCAAGGTTAAGCACTTTTCCACAGATAACACTGGCACAATAGCTTTTGTAATGAAATGCCAGTATTTAATTCTTTATAGAAGTAGGATGAAGGAGGATGGAACAAAAGAGAAATTTGAGTATGCATTCTTGACTTGTGTTGTTAAATTAAAAATACATAGTTTTATTACTTAGTTGGTATATAAAATAATAGGGCTATTACAGTGTTGATGGAAGTCCTTGGTGAGCCTACTTTAGAGAATTACCTGCTAGATTTTTAAATAAATAGATGTTTCTAATGGCTTCAGTAACTTTGCTCTTAAAAATTTTGCAGTGGAGGCTTAAAGGCAAACTTCAGATTCTCTTTTGCCATTGTGTATTTTTGTGCATTTAAGGCTTTATTCAGAAACATTTTGTTTGAGAATCATGTTGCAGGAGCTTCTGGGAGGGTTCATATTTTCACAGACTGTAATTCTGAAAGCATATAGTGTTTAAAGTTGTCAATAAATTTTACTTCTTTTTTTTAAAACCATTTAAAAAATTGAAGTATAGTCAGTTTATACTGTTGTGTTAGTTTCAGGCATACAGCAAAGTGATTGTTTCAGATTCTTTTCCATTATAGGTTATTACAAGATATTGACTATAGTTCCTTGTGCTGTACAGTAGGTCCTTGTTTATTTTATATATAGTAATGTGTATATGTTAACCCCAAACTCCTAATTTATCTCCCCCTCCAAAGGTGTCAATAAATATTATGAATCATCCATGGGTTTTGCTGGTGACGAAAGCTAGGTCAGGCAAGCTGTCTTTATTATGGCTAGGATATATTTTGAGGTGCAAAGGTTATATGGCTATAATTGGGAAGACAAAACAGCCAATTGTCATTTAATTTTGGCTTGTGTCCAAAATAATTAACTCTCCCAGTTTAAATGGGATTAGTGCAGGTGAGGTGTGATGGCAGCTAGACTCATTAGTTGTATATAAGCTTGACCCTGAACAGAACAATAAATACATTAACATCTAAATTTTCCTTTTATACCCCATATGCACTTTTTCTCCCAGTTTCCCTTTTCCTTGTTTGTCTAAGGTACCATTATCTTTAAGAACTCTGCAGTTATCCTAAATTTGTTATGTAGGAATAATTTGAAAAATTTCCCTTTTCTCCCTGTTCCTGCCTGCTCCTACGTGACAGTTCCGTGTGTGTGTCATGGCCTTTTGCCGGCGTATTCCTCCCTGTCGATCATGGGCCAGCCTAAGGCACCTCACACTTGACCTTTGATCTTAGCCAAAAGGCCGAGAAGCGGTAGGCACCTCACGCTTGACATAGTTGCCACGTCCTCCCATCAGTCTTAGCCAGTCCATTCTGTTTATCAGAATTATCTTTCTGAAATTCTGTTTTTAACCAATACCTTGTTCAGAGGCCCCTTTAGACTTAGACCTATCCTTGTTTTAGTCTCCATATTTAGATATGGACTTCAGAAACTTTGTCTTTTTCTTTTTTTTTTTTTGCGGTACACGGGCCTCTCACTGTTGTGGCCTCTCCCGTTGCGGAGCACAGTCTCCAGTCGTGCAGGCTCAGTGGCCATGGCTCACGGGCCTAGCCGCTCTGCAGCATGTGGGATCTTCCCGGACTGGGTCACGAACCCATGTCCCCTGAATTGGCAGGCGGACTCCCAACCACTGCGCCACCAGGGAAGCCCTTATATTAGTTTTTAATTTTCTTTTCCTTTTTTGGGAGTATGGTTATTTATGGGTTCTTTTTTTGTGGAATATCCTTTTCTTAATAAATTTATTTATTTTGTCTTTGCATTGGGTCTTCATTGCTGCGCGCGGGCTTTCTCTAGTTGGGGCGAGCGGGGGCTACTCTTCGTTGCAGTTCGCGGGCTTCTCATCGCGGTGGCTTCTCTTGTTGCGGAGCGTGGGCTCTAGGCGCGTGGGCTTCAGTAGTTGCAGTACTCACGCTCAGTAGTTGTGGCGCATGGGCTAAATTGCTCCGCGGCATGTGGGATCTTCCTGGACCGGGGCTCGAACCCGTGGCTCCTGCATTCACAGGCGGATTCTTAACCACTGCACCACCAGGGAAGCCCTCGCTGGTTTTGATAAACCATATTTCATCGATCCTAAGAAAACTTTGAAACGTCTGAAATAGGCATGTCTTAAAATTGATGATGAGTCGTAATTTGCAGCATTTTTTCCTTTCTTAGAGGTACATAAGATAACGGTAAGTTTTAATGATTGATGAAATATTAGATTAGGTAATACAGTATTTTTTCTTAAATTATTTCCCTGTAAACAGTTTGTTTTCTCAGATATGCTTATTGATGTGAAGGGTTTTTTACTTCTTTGTGGCTTTTAGAATTTGATGTCTATTATTTTAGATCTGGAGAACTGGGTACAGACATCTACTTATGAAAAAATATTGTTGTATTTCAGTTATGTTACATTTACTCTTAAAAAATTTGATACTTAGGATAAGCCTGCTTTTTACTTTTAGGTGGAAGATGAAACTGTTTTACATAACATTCCTTACATGGGGGATGAAGTTTTAGATCAGGACGGGACTTTCATAGAAGAACTAATAAAAAATTATGATGGAAAAGTACACGGGGATAGAGGTGAGTCATGTGTTTATTCTCTTGGAAACACGGCCAGAGAATTGATATTTTATTATTTTTTTAAAACATAGGTATGAAAGAGATTTTTTTTTACATTAAAATTGTTGGACTGGCCTGGGCTCACAAGCCTAAAATATTCAGTGTTTTCCCTAACTATTTTTATTTTATTTTATTTTTTTAAACATATTTATTGGAGTATAATTGCTTTACAATGGTGTGTTAGTTTCTGCTTTATAACAAAGTGAATCAGTTATACATATATCCCCATATCTCCTCCCTCTTGCATCTCCCTCCCACCCTCCCTATCCCACCCCTCTAGGTGGTCACAGAGCACCGAGCTGATCTCCTTGTGCTATGTGGCTGCTTCCCACTAGCTATTTTACATTTGGTAGTGCTTATATGTCCATATGTACACTACCACTCTCTCACTTTGTCCCAGCTCACCCTTCCCCCTCCCTGTGTCCTCAAGTCCATTCTCTAGTAGGTCTGCATCTTTATTCCTGTCTTGCCCCTAAGTTCTTCATGACCATTTTTGTTTGTTTGTTTGTTTGTTTGTTTTTGGCTGCATTGGGTCTTCGTTGCTGCGTGCGGGCTTTCTCTAGTTGCGGCAAGCGGGGGCTATTCTTCGTTGCAGTGCGCGGGCTTCTCATTGCAGTGGCTTCTCTTGTTGCAGAGCACAGGTTCTAGGTGCGTGGGCTTCAGTAATTGTGGCTCGCAGGCTTCAGTAGTTGTGGCTCGCGGGCTCCAGAGCACAGGCTCAGTAGTTGTGGCTCGCGGGCTCTAGAGCGCACGCTCAGTAGTTGTGGTGCACGGGCTTAGTTGCTCCGCGGCATGTGGGACCCTCCCAGACCAGGGCTCGAACCCGTGTCCCCTGAGTTGGCAGGCGGATCCTTAACCACTGAGCCACCAAGGAAGCCCCATTTTTTTTTTTTTAGATTCCATATATATGTGTTAGCACCCTATTTTTAAATTGAAGGATCATGCTTGCCAGTTGAAAATTATTCATAGCTGGTCATAACAAACTGTGATGTCAATAACATGTAAATTAAATAGAATTGTTTGAGTGTATGTAGATTTTAAGATTCTTTAGCAATAAAATCAGTGAGGAATAGGGCTTCTGCTTATGTGACATGGGCTCCAAAAGGCCCTATGTTCAAAAATACCTTCCCCACTAGGCAACCACAGGACCTGAAATCCTGTCATTAGAATCACAGCTTTGGTGATTTAACAGGAGACCCTGTTAAAGTTCCTGGCGGGAGGGTAACGTGTAACATCCTCACATGTTCCTGTCAGGAGTGGACAGCAAGGTCTGGCAGATGCATTGTTTGGAAGGAGGCGAAGGCCATAGTTAGTCTCTAGAGAATTAGGCTATGGTCGCAGGCACTGAAAACTTGTGAAAATGACAGGTGTTGAGGATAAGTACTACTTCCGACTTTGCCTCAGGCCAGTCCTGAAAATGATCTTTCCTCACCGCATTTTAATAATAGTGTTATGGTACTGATTGATAGGCTCCAGCTGTTTCTTACAAATTAACAAAAGCATACGTGAACTTTTGTGTATTTCTGATATTTGACTTGATGAATTTCAGAATGTGGGTTTATAAATGATGAAATTTTTGTGGAGTTGGTGAATGCTCTTGGTCAATACAATGACGACGACGACGATGATGATGGAGATGATCCTGATGAAAGAGAAGAAAAACAGAAAGATCTAGAGGAGAACCGAGAAGGTACGTCTGTCTGTTACATTTGCGTGTAGCCATTACAGCAATTTTCAAAAACAATAGAGTATAGGTAAATCTTCCTTCCTTCTTTTTTCTTTTGTTAAATATCATATCAGTGGTAGTATAATCAAAATTAGAATATTATTTATAAGATTTCATCCTGCACTTTTATTTCCCTTGGCTAGCAAAATAACGTGTTTTTTTGGTTTCCCTGGGCAGTCATCTCGTAATCGTTATGTAACATATATACAGCATACTGGTCATTGACCGAACAAGTTGTGTGCGTATAGACATTCAGTTCTCATAATATTCCACGAGGTAGCTTTTATCATCAGATCCACCTCATAGTTGAGGAGATGGGTTTAGTGAGGTGAAGTAACTCAAGATCACAGTACTGGGAGGAAACAGAACCCAGAAAATGCTGTGTTCGGAACCAGCTCTAACTGACCCCAGAGCATATGTTTTAACCGCTACACTAATTACGGTTTGCCAGAAAATTAGAGGGTCCCAACTTAGAGCTTGGCAGTTGGTGAAGACCGGACAAAGCTCGTTATTAAGACAGCATAGAAGAATATGGGGGGAAATTGCAGTTTCAAAGAAGCGTACAGTTTTTTATAACAGGCGCCTTAGTGATCACCTGGCTCCTCATTTTACAGCCAAGGTGGGTCAGTGGCCAGACAGGGCCGCAGCGTCAGTTAGGGGCTGAGCCGGGACCACAGCCTCAGTTCTCTGCCTCGGGGCGCTCTTGCAGCTTCCCATGCTTGAGTTTGAGTTTCGTCTGGCCCACCAGCCTCCCAGATCCTTGTGAGATATGTTGGAAGGAAGTGAAACGTAGAGCTGGTAATTTCCTGGGAAATCAGCTTTGTTAGGCATGAGGGAAATGAAAGACTGGCAAGCTTGTTCACTTGCATTCTTTTTTCCTTTCACATTTCCCTGTTTAGATAAAGAAAGTCGCCCACCTCGGAAATTTCCTTCTGATAAAATTTTCGAAGCTATTTCCTCAATGTTTCCAGATAAGGGCACAGCAGAAGAGCTAAAGGAAAAGTAAGATTTGTTCTTTGGCCATGGTTTTGCCTCGTATGGTCTTTAACTCACCATTTTGGTTCTTTAGAAATGGAACTAACATAGCCAGTGAGCTCCCCGCTTCGCGTGTTCCCAACATCTGCAAGATACTTGACCTAATGCGCGTAGGTATCTGGTGCCCTGCGCTCCGCGCGTGGTAGATGGGATAAATTGGCGTGCGCGCGTGCAGACACGCACACGTACACACACAATTTACAGGAATGCGTGTAAGAGGAAATTTCTCGGGACGCCTGTAGAAATTTTAGTGCAGCTGATGTTTCATTTTAATGACTATAGTAACATTTTTCGTGACAGATCTGAATCACATCAGTGAATTCGTTTCTTGATGTACCATGCATAATATTTAATTGGCTCTTCATTTAAGTAAAGATTGTTGTAGGCTAAACTTCTTTGTGTGTTTTAGGCAAGATAAACATCAAAAATAATACACAGAAATCTTGTAGAAAATTTATTTTCAAAAATGTAATTCTTGTTTCACCTTTACTTCCATTTTTCTTGGTTAATGTTAGGTACAAAGAACTCACCGAGCAGCAGCTCCCAGGTGCACTTCCCCCTGAGTGTACCCCCAACATAGATGGACCAAACGCCAAGTCTGTTCAGAGGGAGCAGAGCTTGCACTCGTTTCATACGCTTTTCTGTAGGCGATGTTTTAAATATGACTGCTTCCTACATCGTAAGTGCAGTTATTGTACGTTTACATTTTCTATCTTTGTTGTGGAATTATGTGTTAAAGCAACTTGGGAAGTGTCATTGATTACCACTAGAATTTGTCATTTAATCTTGCAGTTACGACTGAAAAGTACGTTAGCATCATAGTATTGTTATTTTCTAATTTGCTGCTTAAGGGTTGCTCTGAAGCCTTTTGCACATGTTAAGCTGGCACTGCTGTCTCCCACTAACTTGGAATACAGATCAGTGATTTTTCCATAAATGCTAACCGAACAATTGTTTTACAATAAAACTTACTGTGACCTAGCCGATGGCCCAGAGCAACATTGCCAATACTGATGAATAACTCGTTGAATAAGAAATTGGCTAAAAAGGTGTTTCTATATATTCTTGTCTGTTTAGTGCCAAATCTGGTTTTTTTTGGGGGGGGAGGGGCATCCTCTGAATACGTTGCTTTTAAAAACACCTGCATTTGAATACAGGTAAAGCATAACATGTTCTTAATGAGATTTACGTATGGTACATAGGATATTACTTTCTTTTTCTGACATCGCTGGGGAATGAAGTTTCTTAGTAAAATTTCCAGGTAACTGGAAATTAATTAAGTATAATTTAGAAACTACCAGCTACTTTTGAGGCACGTTTTTTGAAAATATATTTCATACCTCCTGGTTCCTAAGCAGAGTTTACTTAATGTAGGTTAGCTTTTTCCACATTAGAGTTTTGTGTGACCATCTGTGGCATAACACCTTTGTCTCTGTGCTAAATGGGTTCATGTTGCTTTGCCCTTTTGGAGTTCCTGTGCCCACCTTCTACAATTTTTTCCCTCATTTTCCAGTGGTACCTCTTAATGTTAATTAGCTGCCTAGGCAGCTATATCTTGCCTTATTTTGAGTTTTTGCTCTGTATCTACTTAATGTTTGCTGCAGCACATAATTTGTTACATGATGTGTATCTAGGTCTGGAAATGGTCATTTGTGTGTGTGTGTGTGTGTGTGTGTGAAGTATTAGTGGTTTCGTTATCTTAATTTAGAAAAACTTGAAGTAGACTTTCTGAATTATCATTGTATCTCCTTGCAGCTGTTGTCCGTGCTCCTAATCTAGTTTAACTTGATGACTTGGTAGTTGTAATAATCCGTAGAAGCCAGCCATACTCCAGCCATTGTAGGCTTACTTACTTGGGCTTGGCAGCATTGTCGTTACACAGGCCTTGAAGTAGTTGTTTTGAATTGCATTTAATTCCCCTTTACACATGATCATTTTATAAAATAATGTCCAGTTCTTAAGAATACTGTAAATTGCATTCAGATATCACTATAGCAAAAAAGTTGGTGGGAGCTCTTTCATTGGAGTCAATGCAGTGGTTCCTCCAATTTGTTGTTTATAGATGTAGCATTTGATGGACCTTTTTTGTACAGATGAGCCAAGGCAGGAGGGTACTACTTTTAAACATTATTACAAGAGTTATTTTATTGTGCTATTCCAATCTGAGTAATTTGGATGAACCTTGAACCTGCTCATCGTCTCATTATTCATGCTGGGGAGAGGAGGAGAAAAGTGTTGTGCTTAATGAAGCTGGTTCTCTGGGACTGACCGGTGGGCTGCTCACTGCAGGGCGTGGGAGACGCGGGTCCAGCACTGCTGTGCCCACCCTTCCCCCTTGTTCCACTACAGCCAGGCTCTTCATAGTGTAGCCCTAACACATTCTACAGGCATTTAATTGCTTTACACTGACTTGGACAAAATATCACACACTATATATTTTTCTTAGGTAAAAGAAGTCATTAAATACATTATTAAACATACCTGTTAAATATAGCATTTTGTGCTTTTTGTTCTTTGTCTAATTGGGAATAATATAAACTGTCAGGATTAAATTTATTACTTACTATGTGCAAAATACTTAAAATAGCACTTGGCGTGTGTTTAGCTATTGTTATTTTTAAAATAAATCATCATTCACGTGACTTACATTTCCAAAAAGCATTAAAAGGCATCCAGCGAAATCCCCCACCCCTCCTGTCCGCATCCTCACGCCCCTGTAGGTAAACCACTTCTGCTGTTAGTTCTTCTGTGTCTTTCTGTAGTTTCTTCTGGCAAATACAAATACATTCCTCTCTTTTCCCAACCACCCTATTCAAATAGTGCCATACTCTCCAGGCTTTTTCCCTGTTGGACTTAATATTGTAGATATTATTCCTGTCTGGACAGCTGCATAGTCTTCAGCTGTAGGAGGCCCTATAACTTACTGAGCCCGTCCCCCGAAGGTCAACATTTATGGTAATGGTGCCGCAGTGAATAACCTTGCGTGGTGGACCTGTACGTCCTTTCCCACAAGTGCAGGTTAACCCGGTCCACTCTGTGTAGGCAGTGCCAAACTACCTGCCATACGGGGATCTGCCAATTTAAAGAACTACCAGCAAAGTAAGAGTGCCTGTTTCCCAGAGCCCAGCCAATAGAGTGTGTAAAAAAACAAACTTTGATTTTATTGATTGAATTAGTAAAATGCTTTTTAGCATAATTTAATTTGCATTTTTCTTCCTGTATGATTAAGAGATTTGTATTTTCTCTGAACTATTTTTATCCTTTTGGCTTCGTTGGTCTTTTTGATATCTTGAAGCTCTTTATGTAGTCAGGAAATTTTTTGAGATGAGTTGCAGTGGGTTTTTTTTTTTCCAGTTTGCTGTTTGGTAAAAATCCCATAGCAAAGTTAAAAAAAAAACCTTTAAGGTAGTTGAATTTATCAGTTGGCTTTCCCTACTACTCCAAGGTTTTAAAGGACGTCTCACTTTTTTTCTAGTACGTTTTAGGCTTTTGGTGCTATTTTCTTTTTTGGGGGAATAACATCTAACTCTTTGATCCGTTTGGAATTTATTCTGTTAGAATTTTGGATCCAACTCGTCCTCTGCATCTCCAGGGCTACTGTTTCCACACCATCTTTTTTTTTTTTTTCCCCAGTACGCGGGCCTCTCACTGTTGTGGCCTCTCCCGCTGCGGAGCACGGGCTCCGGACGCTCAGGCTCAGCGGCCATGGCTCACGGGCCCAGCCGCTCCGCGGCATGTGGGATCTTCCCGGACCGGGGCACGAACCCGTGTCCCCTGCATCGGCAGGCGGACTCTCGACCACTGCGCCGCCAGGGAAGCCCCTTAACATCTTTATTGGAGTATAATTGCTTTACAATGGTGTGTTAGTTTCTGCTTTATAACAAAGTGAATCAGTTATACATATACATATGTTCCCATATCTCTTCCCTCCACACCATCTATTGACAAGTGCCTCTGGGGCTGCCCTGAGCCGCTGCCTTCATCACTGTCACCACAGGTGCTGGGGTCTGTTTCTGGTCTTTGGGTTCCGTTCCTTGAGTCTTTCCAGGGGGCTTTATTCAGAGATCTCTTGGCCATTCTTGTTTTTCTATATAAATTTTAGAACCAGTTTGTCTAATTAAAAAAAAAGTCTAGGGGCTTCCCTGGTGGCACAGTGGTTGAGAGTCCGCCTGCCGATGCAGGGGACACGGGTTCGTACCCCGGTCCGGGAAGATCCCACGTGCCGCGGAGCGGCTGAGCCCGTGAGCCATGGCCGCTGAGCCTGCGCGTCCGGAACCTGTGCTCCGCAACGGGAGAGGCCATAGCAGCGAGAGGCCCGCGTACTGGAAAAAAAAAAAAAAAAAAAAAGTCTAGGTGGTATGTTTATTGGAATCTCATTAAATTTATAAATTATCTAAGGGGAAATTGACAATTTAAAATAAGGGTATGTCTAACTATGGGATAAGTCTCCTTTTGTCCTTTAAAATAAGCTTTCTGATTTTCTTCCCGTAGCTCTTGTATTTACATTCTTTGGTAAGTTGATTTCTAGGCATTAAATGTGTTGGGCTTTTCCCCTTGTATCATATATGTTTCATACCCTGCTACTTTACTGGGCTGTCCTTGTTTGTGATAGTTTCTGCATAGATTCTTTTGAGTTTTCCAGCTGTAATTATCTACAGTTATGAATGGTTTTGCTTTCTTTCCAATCTTTGTAACTTTAACTACCTTCTCCTGTCTAACTGTATCTTCAGTGCATGTTAAATAATAGTGGTGCTAGGAGATACATTTCCTACTGCTCCTGGATCAGTTTTGGGAAATTACCCGTTTCATTCCGATTTTGAAATTTATTTGTATAATTTGATCTGCATGTTCTAATAATTCTTTTAATTTCTTTTATTTCTTTGATTGTTCTTCTGTGTTTGATTCTTTTTTTCTTGAAGAGATTAAGAAGTGGTTTATATATTTAGAAAATCTGTTTTGTATATTTTTCCCTCAGAGAATCAGCTACTGTATTAGTTTTTACTGTTTTTCTGTTTGTGAATCTGATGTTTGTGTCATTTTCATTCTTTCCTCTTTTTTTGGATGTATGTATTTTAACACAGTGAGTTGTCTCTAGAGCGCTGTTTCAACTTCTTTTAGGTTCCAATATTTGGTATTATTACTATTTTTTTTTAAAGGAATTTGAGGGAATGTTTTGTATTTCCTTTAACTCATTGTTGAACGGAGACTTTTTTTTTTTCTGCGGTATGCGGGCCTCTCACTGTTGTGGCCTCTCCCGTTGCGGAACACAGGCTCTGGACGCTCAGGCTCAGCGGCCATGGCTCATGGGCCTAGCCGCTCTGCGGCATGTGGGATCTTCCCGGACCAGGGTACGAACCCGTGTCCCCTGCGTCGGCAGGCAGACTCTCAACTACTACGCCACCAGGGAAGCCCAAAGGGAGACTTTTTAAAACTTCATTGTGAAAGAGGCCTTTTTTGGATGTTAACTGTTTTTATTATTTCTGTGCTGGCAGCCTCACTGATGTTGGGCCTTACTTGTTATTTAGATGTTAGGGGTGTCTGCCACTCTTATCTCTAAGGAAGATATTCTTTTTTAAAAAAAATAAATTTATTTATTTATTTTTGGCTGCGTTGGGTCTTCGTTGCTGCACGCAGTCTTTCTCTAGTTGCGGCGAGCAGGGGCTACTCTTCCTTGTGGTGCGCGGGATTCTCATTGCTGTGGCTTCTCTTGTTGTGGAGCTCGGGCTCTAGACGCGTGGGCTTCAGTAGTTGTGGCACACAGGCTCAGTAGTTGTGGCACGTGGCCTCAGTAGATGTGGCACGTGGGCTCAGTAGTTGTGGCGTGGAGTAGTTGCTCCACGGCATGTGGGATCTTCCCAGACCAGGGCTCAAACCCATGTCTCCTGCACTGGCAGGCAGATTCTTAACCACTGTGCCACCAAGGAAGTCCCGGAAGATATTCTGATGGCAGGGGATTGGCAGTTCATCTGGGCCAGAAGCTTGGTATCTGATCATGGATCTTTTCTATTAGAGGGACTTTAATCTCCAATACAGGCCTAGAGCATAGCTAGAATTGTATATTACAATTTATAAGTCTTTTACGTTTGCTTGAAAACCTTTAGATAAGATATTGCACCAAAATTCTTTAGGTTGCTTTTGAAATTAAAGAAAAAAAAAGCCTTTAATATCCATGTTCTTTTCTTTTTGTGAAACTTTTAAGTATCTTGCTTTAATTTTCCATCTGATAATTTTCCTGATCAGGGAATTTTATATAATCTTCTCTCCAACCTGCCCATATTATACTTAGTTTGAAATATATTTTAATAATGTATTGCAAATACTAGTATTTTAAGATGTCTATTTGAAAAGATTATTTTCAGTATTCTGGAAGTCTAAAATAGTCAAGACTCTTAGAGGAAAACATAGGCAGAACACTCTATGACATAAATCACAGCAAGATCCTTTTTGACCCACCTCCTAGAGAAATGGAAATAAAAACAAAAATACACAAATGGGACTTAATGAAACTGCAAAGCTTTTGCACAGCAAAGGAAACCATAAACAAGACCAAAAGACAACCCTCAGAATGGGAGAAAATATTTGCAAATGAAGCAACTGACAAAGGATTAATCTCCAAAATTTACAAGCAGCTCATGCAGCTCAATATCAAAAAAACAAACGACCCAATCCAAAAATGGGCTGAAGACTTAAACAGACATTTCTCCAAAGAAGATATACAGATTGCCAACAAACACATGAAAGAATGCTCAACATCATTAATCATTAGAGAAATGCAAATCAAAACTACAATGAGATACCATCTCACACCGGTCAGAATGGCCGTCATCAAAAAATCTACAAACAATAAATGCTGGAGAGGGTGTGGAGAAAAGGGAACCCTCTTGCACTATTGATACAGCCACTATGGAGAACAGTATGGAGGTTCCTTAAAATACTAAAAATAGAACTACCATATGACCCAGCAATCCCACTACTGGGTACATGGCCTGAGAAAACCATAATTCAAAAAGTCATGTACCACAATGTTCATTGCAGCACTATTTACTATAGCCAGGACATGGAAGCAACCTATGTGTCCATCAACAGATGAATGGATAAAGAAGATGTGGCACATATATACAATGGAATATTACGCATAAAAAGAAACAAAATTGAGTTATTTGTAGTGAGATGGATGGACCTAGAGTCTGTCATACAGAGTGAAGTAAGTCAGAAGGAGAAAAACAAATACCGTATGCTTACACATATATATGGAATCTAAAAAAAAAAAAGTCACGAAGAACCTGGGGGCAAGACGGGAATAAAGACGTAGACCTACTAGAGAATGGACTTGAGGATACGGGGAGGGGGAAGGGTAAGCTGGGACAAAGTGAGAGAGTGGCATGGACATTATACACTACCAAATACAAAATAGATAGCTAGTGGGAAGCAGCCGCATAGCACAGGGAGATCAGCTTGGTGCTTTGTGACCACCTGGAGGGGTGGGATAGGGAGGGAGGGAGACGCAAGACGGAAGAGATATGGGGACATATGTATAACTGATTCACTTGGTTATAAAGCAGAAACTGACACACCATTGTAAAGCAATTATAGTCCAATAAAGATGTTAAAAAAAATAGGACACTTCTAGAAGAGGGAATTCTTTATATACTTAGTTTTCCTAAAGAATTGAAGTTGGAAATTCTGCTGAAGGAAATCTAGTCGTAAGAATAGTTCTCTTTCTTTAGCTAAATGCAGTGTGGGATGAAGAATGGTACTTTAAAATTTTTTAAAGTACTTTTATTATTAGCATGCTGGCTTTTCCTTTATGGCCTGGATTTGTTCTCACCTTGGAGACTGTATAATTGTGGCTTATGATGCTGATACTGTTACCTAGTCCTGACTTGGAGGCTTCTTCTGTCTCATCACCAGCAGAGGCTGCTGTCCTCATTTGTGCACGTGTGTGTGTAGAGATACATGTGTGTCGTCTTCAGTGAATTGGGGCAAAACTATCAGTCTCTAACTATAGTATGTACTAGAGGAGACATCCAGACTAAACACAGGTTTCACCTAAAGCGTGTCGGTCAGGAATGTGCCTCTGGCTCAGGACGATTTTGTTTTTGGATGGATGTAATTCCTTCTGCTTATGTGACCTTAATCTTCTAGTGCTCAGTCTGTGTATTTTAGGGGTCCTCACCTGTGCAAAGTGTAAGTCAGTGCTAAATAAGTCATATGGTATCAGGCTCTTGTTCTGGGAAAAACCAACTCACATACTTGAAACAGTCTGAGCCTTGAATTTCTATTTTAAAAACATAACTTTTTCTTCCTTCCCTCATCACTGTCTTCCTTTCCCATTTAAGTTCTATGGATAGAAGTATGGCTTTTTTTTTTTTTTTTTTTTTTTTTTGGTTCGCGGGCCTCTCACTGTCGTGGCCTCTCCCGTTGCGGAGCACGGGCTCCGGATGCACAGGCTCAGCGGCCATGGCTCACGGGCCCAGCCACTCCGCGGCATGTGGGATCTTCCTGGACCGGGGCACGAACCCGTGTCCCCTGCATCAGCAGGCGGACTCTCAACCACTGCGCCACCAGGGAAGCCCGAAGTATGGCTTTTTACAAATATTTTTTAAATGATTTATTTCATGAATCTGTCACTTGTTTTTATCCAGATTAATTTTCATCTTGTGTAATTCTGGATAGGGCATTTCTAGTATTTGCCTTTATTCGCTGTAAGCAAAGCCTCCCCAAGTTGTCTGAAGTTCTCGCTGCTGCGCTTTCATACTTGTTAGTATACCAGTGTGCTGGACTTTGAATTTTTCTGTTATATTATTTGGGAATCTTAAGTTTCAAACACTTTATCTTTCTAAAACCTGTTTTATCTGACCATTGTATTTTGCTGCAGAAAGGGTGCTGACTGTGCAGGCTCCCGCTGGGTTCTTGAATTGTGTGTGATTCAAAGAAATTGACTTGTAGTATTCCGAGGCTGTCCTCATTATCTTTTAAAACTGGTTTTTAACAATTGGTGTCCCATTCTCCCCCATTTGACAAGCTGATTGCTGACCTTTCTTTGGAAATCGATAAATTGTAGATGTCAGAATTCTTTTGTAAAAAGAGGAAATCTGATTTCTATGTAGAGGATACATCAGTTGTTTCTATGGAGACATTCAAGACCCAAATAAATGTTTATAATTAGAGCTCAGGTGTGCTGGGGGAGACCTGAGGAGAATACATTGTGGAAATTCAGTAAGAGCGTGAAGGAAAGTTCTGTAGTGTAAACATTATTAACAAAAGTGTAATGTAGTAATTGACTTTCTCCTTTGGAACTGGAGACATGAAAAAGTAATGTTTATGTGTAAAAGTAATGTTATTTATGTTTGGATATTTTATGTTTATTTTGCAGCTTTTCATGCGACACCCAACACTTACAAGCGGAAAAACACGGAGACGGCTCTGGACAACAAGCCTTGCGGCCCCCAGTGTTACCAGCACTTGGTAAGCGTGCACAGCGGGGCTCCAGAGGGAATTGGAGAAGTCTTAATTTTGAACTTCGGTGAGGTCTGTAAAGTCAGCGGTAACCTCACTGTTCCCATACTTTGATTGGCCATATGATAGCAGAGGTTTCTCAGTCACATTTCTTGGTAGTGCTTACATACTGCACATTCTAGTCTTTCGTTATCTCGCGTTATTCTTTATCTCTGTTAGTCTTTTCAGCAGCGTGTGGAGGTCTTTAGGATCCAGGCCTCCTGTACCTCCACAGAGCTTACGAGAATGGGAAGCACAGAGGACCCTTTTAAACCCCAGAAGTGCAGTAGTTCCCGGGCCTTGCTCAGAGCCATAGCCCTTCTTTGAGTTGTAGACCCACTGTAGTTGAGCTATATTATATATAGGCCCCGGAGAGGTTTTGTATGTTTATTTATTTTTTTTTAATGATGGAGAAAAGGTAAGGGTTTAGGAAAATATGAGGTAGAAAAGTTGTATTTTACGGGTACTATCTTATTTTTACCATTTCCCCTCTTTGAACCAAGCCACTCCTACCTAGGAACTAAATGGGTATATATTGCCTGTTGGATTTTGGACAGAAGATTCATTGAATGGCACCTGCAGAAGGTATCCTATTTTTAAGCAATTTGGTTTTTGTAGAATGAAGTATAAAACTGTTGGCTGCTCTCAGACTTCTCCCTTCTATTGCCACTAAAAATGGAATTCTTGAGCACTGTTTTATATATAATATTCCTTACAAGGCAGAATTTTATTTGGCTCATCTAAAATGTGTCTGTGGTATCTCTATAATCCACGCCCTTCCCGTTGTTGTATACTTTCCGAGACTGAATTATTACACCTGGTAACGCAGAATGTAACCCTCACCGCCTTGTTCGTCGAGTTCCTTTCATGTCTTCCTGGGTTGTGCATCCCTCACGGGAAAAAAAAAAAAGGGATGTTTTACTTGTAAGGCAGAAAGTGAAAGAGGTGGAGTATGTGTACATGTTTTGTTTTCTTCTTGTATACTTTAAATATTACCTTAGAAAGGGACATGTTGGCTTAAGAAACCCTGAAATAGGAAAGTGTGACTTTAGATGCACATTAGATGTGTGCTTCCTCTTAAAATTCACTTTTAAATAGACTGTTACCTAAAGTATATTTCTATTTAACTCATAATCAGTTAATATAGAGCCGTCTTGCCTGATTTTGTGCTGCTCTGGCACTGTACGGAAGCCATATTTATCTTTCGCAAATCTTCAAACCCTCAAAAGCAGATAGAAAACAGTTGTATGTAGATGTGCGACTGTTTGTGAAAGCCGGATACTGTGATACATTTGACTAACGTGCTAACGCCATCCTTTTCTTTTTCTCCTCCGCCAAAATGAGCTGCAGAACTTTACCCTGATGTCTGCACTTTTCCCCCTTCGTAGGAGGGCGCGAAGGAGTTTGCTGCCGCCCTCACTGCCGAGCGGATAAAGACGCCCCCGAAGCGCCCAGGCGGCCGCAGGAGAGGGCGGCTCCCCAACAACAGCAGCAGGCCCGGCACCCCCACCACCAACGTGCTCGAGTCGAAGGACACGGACAGTGACAGGGAGGCGGGGACCGAGACCGGAGGGGAGGGCAACGACAAGGAAGAGGAGGAGAAGAAGGATGAGACCTCCAGTTCCTCAGGTGAGACGCGTCTGGTAACAGGGTCTTCCTGCCGCTCGGAGGGTTCATGTTGTCGAGGTTTGGGTCGTGTAAGGTGTTAGTTACTTCCCTCAGTTGGTTAGTTACAGACACGGTGAGAAACCCAGGAGCAGAGCTGTGTGGCTGTGACTCTTACTGCTCTCTTCTGGCCCACACCCAGCCCTCGCCTGTGGTGTTGATCTGTCTGGGTTACTTGCAAGTTGACCATCCGGTTTATTTTCACTCTTTGGGTCACTTTCCTTTTTCCAGCTTTCACCAGGGCATGATGAAATTCTCATCATTCAGTTGAATACTCTGGACGCTCTGTGGGTAGTTTTGGTTAGGAGAGAGAATTAGAACCACTGACTAATACGTTACGGGTTGTCTTTTCAGCCCTATGATTACACCGTAAGTAATAGTAGGGTAACCCCATCTGCTTTCATTTTAGAAGGCTGAGTTAAAGGGAGCCCGCTCTCATGGTTTCCATGGGGGAAAAGCTTACTGATACTTCCTTCCCTTTCCCTTTCCTTCCTCCCATTGCTATTTCTTGACCATTGCTTAACTTTGGTTTCGTAGAAGCGAATTCTCGGTGTCAAACACCAATAAAGATGAAGCCCAACGCCGAGCCCCCCGAGAACGTGGAGTGGAGTGGCGCTGAGGCCTCCATGTTCAGGGTCCTCATCGGCACGTACTACGACAATTTCTGTGCCATCGCCAGGTTGATTGGGACCAAGACATGTCGACAGGTCAGCGTGCCTGATAAAAATACTGTCAGCTTCAAATACGTGGTCACTGTCCAAACATACGAACATTCGTGGTTATTAAACTGCTGTTCCTCTGAAAAGAAGTATAAAAAATTTTTTTTTCACTGAGAGGATACTGAAAGGAAATTACTCATTCAACTTCAGATGTTTTAGGTTAGCTGGCAATGGGTTCTATCTTATTTTATTATTCATTCATTTATTTGCTTTTTGGCCACGCTGCACGGCACATGGCATCTTAGTTCCCCAAACAGGGATCGAACCTGTGTCCCTTGCAGTGTAAGTGCAGAGTCCTAACCACTGGACAGCCAGGGAATTCTGGCAATGGGTTTTAAAAACCAGGAACGATTTAGATTTAGCCTCATGACTCTCAGTAAGAGTGTAATCGCAGCAGCGTCACAGGACAGACAAATAGTTTCTGGTGGGAATGAGCAGGAGACTGGTTTGCTTAAATAGACGGTCCTCACGGCCCTGTAACCTTGCCTCTTGTCAGGTGTATGAGTTTCGAGTCAAAGAATCCAGTGTCATAGCGCCAGCTCCCGCTGAGGACGTTGACACCCCTCCCAGGAAGAAGAAGAGGAAACACCGGTGAGTCTGCGGCGTGATGGGGAGGCCGCTGCGGGCCTGGCGCTCATGAGGGCAGTGGTGGCTCCACTCCGTCGATTAGGAAAGAAGCTTAAGTGGCCTCAGAAATAGACCTGTGGGGTCTTGTTTCTGTGGGCATTTGCTGGCATTTTTCTGTAAGAACACAGTGGCTGTCAGGAGATTTGGTGTGTTGAGTCATAAAAGTTTTATGATTACTATGCTACATTTTGGTTACGAAGAATTACTGAGTAGCTTCTGCAGTGAAGGCTGCATAAACCCTTACTTGGCATTCGTGTGTGGATCTTGGGAGGCTGTGAGCTCTGGGCCAGTTTTCACTCTAGGAGCCTGAGTTTTCCACGCCCACCCTGCCATCGGCCTGGGTGAGCGAGTGACGGGGGCAGTGAAGGTATCAGGCCGACTCGGATGTGTGGAGGCTGGATGGACTACTTGCTGTAACCACCACCCCGGTCCTTTTTTTCTTTTTAGAGAGAAACATAGTTGGGTGTTGGGTAAGGGAACATCTAAATTATGCTTCAAAAATTGTCTACAGCTTAATTTAGACTTTAATAGATGCCTCTGCATTTTTTGCTTGGATTCTCTCTGACCATATAGCTCAGTTGAAATGATGCAAGATTCCAGAAATTAGAGCAGGTATGCTGTGTCAGTATCATCCACACTAGAATAAACCTGCCCCAGGTGGCCGGGCTCGCTCTCTGAGGCCACAGCCCCGTAGGCTGTTCCCACGTTGCTCCACACCTGCGCCAGGTGTGAGCGGGGTGGCGTGTGACTCCTCTTTCATAGTCACTTGGATTAAGAGCCCTGCCGCGTTCATGGCACAGGTTGACGCGTTTAAGTTGCGCTTGTTGACATGTGGCTGACTGTGCGCCCCAGGGTCACGAGGGTGATGTTTCCTTCCTTTGTGTTTTGCAGGTTGTGGGCTGCACACTGCAGAAAGATACAGCTGAAGAAGGGTTGGCATCTTTCCGTTCAGCTTCATTAGTAACTCAGGGTCTACTTCTCGTGTCTTAGAATAGTAATTGGATTAGAGTTTGGGATATTCTAATATAACCGACTTTGGTGCACTGAAGTTTAATGCACAGAAGTGCATTAAATGGAGGCCGTCTGTTGGTTAATTTCCAGTCGGTTAGAGGAGAACGACTCTGGGAACCTGACTGAGGTGTGTGTGACAGTGCCCCGGGGTTCCCGAGCTCTTGGCGGGTGGGGCTAATTTCTGCTGACCTCTTGTAAACAGTGTGTGTGACGTTGCAGACACGGAAAGACAACCCGCTAAGCTCGGAGGGCCACGGGGAGCGCATGTGCTTGTCGGGCGTGTGCTCCCCTTGCCGCTCTCTGGACTGACGTGGTGCTGTTGTCTCTGTGCAGACGGCTCCTCCAACCATGTTTACAACTACCAGCCCTGTGACCACCCGCGGCAGCCTTGCGACAGCTCGTGCCCTTGTGTGATAGCCCAGAATTTTTGTGAAAAGTTTTGTCAATGTAGTTCAGAGTGTAAGTATGTTGTCTTGATGTGATTACGTGAGAATTCAGTGGGCTGTTGGTCAGCAATTTAAAACTGTAACCTCAATCGGCACAAGGACACGGCAGCTCCTGCGTGCTGTTCCCTTGGGGAAATTCACTTACGCCACGAGCATGCATGGCGCCCAGGAGTGGCGCTGGGCCTCTTTCCAGCCAGCCTCCTGGCTGACGCGGGTATGTGGGCAGGTTTAGGCGAATGTGGGTTAAAAGGAGCTTTTATTTTTTTCCCCCTTGATCATTTAACTTAAATCATAGTAGAGTTGACACAGAATGGAAGGGGACTCTAGAAATAGCTACCCAAATACTTTTTGGACACCAGAAACTGTTAAGAGTTAGGTGGGTTTAGTCTTCAGAATACAGGAATGTGTAGCATCAGGGTAGTGACTGTAATGATTTAATGAAACTGCACTGAAGCCTGGATACCAAGGAAGTACCTAGAACTCTGACTATCGGAGTGGTTGAGATCCATGGATATTATGTAGTCCAAATCCTTCCTTCACACCTGTTTTATAAATCAAAGAACTGTAAGTACACATGCCATCTAACGAACGAAAAAGGGGAGACAGGAACTCAGTGATCTCCTTCAGGATGGACAGCTTCAACCTTCCTGTTACTTTCCTTTCCTCATGTGTACGGTGGGATAATACAGTTGTTGTGAGGCCTCCGTGCATTAATCAGGGCCTTAGCGCCAGACTTGAGCTGCACCGTTAGGCAAGGTTTTCGTCTGACGAAGAACATCTCTCTGAAGGTCAGAACCGCTTTCCGGGATGCCGCTGCAAAGCCCAGTGCAACACCAAGCAGTGCCCGTGCTACCTGGCTGTCCGAGAGTGTGACCCCGACCTCTGTCTTACTTGTGGAGCTGCTGACCACTGGGACAGTAAAAACGTGTCCTGCAAGAACTGTAGCATTCAGCGGGGCTCTAAGAAGGTAGGGCGTGATCGTTGTTGGTGGGCTTCCGAGAGATGTCAAAGTCAGGATAGTCTTAGACCATTTAGCTGGGGCAAAAAAGTGATGATTGAATGGTACAGCTGATAAAAGGAAAATGGTTGATTTTTCTGTAGAATAGTTTGATATAGGATGAACCAGTCAACTCTGAGAAGCAGCTGTTAATGGTATCGGATTTGAATAAGAGGTATTTTTCTAGTTGTTTAATAGATGATTCGATTTTCTTTTTTAAGTTTAGTTAATAGAACAAGTGGTTTATCTAGTCTCCTTAGAGCAAATCACTGGTGTTCCTGTCAGAACAGAGAGACCCATTCTTATCAAATAGTATTCTGGGTTCCTTTTTGCACAGAGTAAAAGATGGGACTTCCCACAGTAGTTTCTGTAATAACCTTGAAAATAACACAGGCAGGAATTACATAACTGAAGCCTGGGCATTGCATGGACTTGACTTGTTGCAACCAGGGAGTTTATTGTTGACCAAAAGAAACTTAGTTTTTTAAGGTAGTATCTTAGTTTTCAGGGTACTATCAGTATCTTGGTTTTTTAGGGTAGATGATAGGTTTCTTCAGTTAATCATTTTTATAATAATAGCTGACATTTATTATTTAATATAGAGCAGGCCCTGGTCTAAGCACTTTGTGTATTAACTCATTAGTCTTCCTGACTCCCTGAGTTAGGAATAATCATTAAACCCAACGTTCTGAGACTTGTCAGGAAAGGAGCAGGAACTCAGCCAGGCGTTCCGGCCCAGGACCCTGTGCCGTGAGTGACCACCCCGTGTGCACGCGGCACGCTCTTCTCTTAGGGTCTTGAACTAGTGAACCAGTGTGTAATGTAACTGAGATCGCTGTACCGTCAGTCCTACTCTACTGGAAGTTCTGTTTATGGCAGTGGCTTTATATTTTTGGCTGTGGCCAAAACGCCTGCTATCAGGCATTCAGACGGGTTTTACTCTAGGTCCTCACGTCACAGTGATGCTGGCGTGGTTTCCCGGGGACACCCATTCAGCCCTGAGAACTCCCATTTCTCCCTCAATCCTGTACTTTCCCACTGTATGATAAAAACCCCTCCTTCAGTTTGTTCAGAAAGTGGATAATCCTAATGGTGACATGTCTTTCTACACATCTTTTTTGTTCAGAAAGTGGATAATCCTAATGGTGACATGTCTTTCTACACGTCTTTTACCTCCTAAAACAGAAAACTGTGTAGATACTTTTTACCAACGGGGTTTCATTTGCTTAACAGTATTTAGCTGGTCAGGAAGGTACTTGGTTAATTCTTCCCCGACAGGGAGTGTAGGCTGAGTCAGAACAAGCATAGATCGGTAACCTGGGGATCCAGGAGTCTTTTTCGAGGCCACGAGGATACTTGGAATGAAAGCATAATAATGAGCCACGATGAAAGGTTAGGGATTCATTCCCAAACAGACTAACGGTAGAAGCGACAGCAGTGATCAGCCATCTTGGCATCCGCTAAGAACAGAATGCTGGCCCACGGGATCGTGCTACCCCTCGTGGTGGTTTTTCGTGCTGTCGTGAGGAAGGGCTGTGGAAGGATGCGCCCAAGAGAAAAGTGCCCTGGAAGGAAGGGCAGCGCTTCGGGAGGAATAAAAGCTGGTGAAGAGCCAGGAGAGGGCCCCACGGGGGCTGGGACTGCACCCGGAGGAGGTGGTGATAGAGGCCGTCTTGGGGAGGTGCAGGGGGCAAGGGCGGAAGGACGGACAGGGAAGCAAATGGTGCAGCATGTCATGATGCCTCGTGCAAGGACCGCAGTCGGAGGGACCCGCACCAGCATAGGTGACGTCGTATTTCTGAGAGAGACAGAGGATACTTAGGCTCTGTACTTGATTTACAAAAACCAAAACGTGGTTCTTGCAGTTTGTCAAGCCCTTTGGTAAGGCGGGGGAGCTGACCCCTTCCCCCACCTGTGGTTGAATTACCCTGGTTCATCCCATGTCTGATTTGTCCATCTTCACTCCCCTCTGATTACATGATTGTGTTTATTATTCTCTAGCATTTACTGCTGGCACCATCTGATGTGGCAGGCTGGGGGATTTTCATCAAAGATCCTGTACAGAAAAACGAATTCATCTCGGAATACTGTGGAGAGGTAAGGCACAGCCGTCCAGTTGCAGACAGAGGGATGCTCACGGGCGTCATCTGTACTCACTTTGCTTTGGACTGATTTTCATTGGGCAAGTCCGTTGGGTTTGATGAGAAGTGAATTTAAAATGCCTTTTCAGCTTGGGCTTGTGGGTTTGGTTGGTTTGAAAGTTAAGCTACACGGCTTCAGTCCTTGTCACAGTTAGCTTTTATCACCTGGGGACAAGGGGGAGAACAAGAGCTTTAAAATGAGGAGTCTGTCCTACTTAAGCCACAGCCTAGTTGATAAGAACCTAAGTTAGGAAAAACCCTGGGGCTGGCTTCATTGTGCGATTAACCCACCCGGTTTGTATTTTGTACTGAGTAAAAAGACTTCTGGTTCATCACTTTCTCCAAGCATAGTTACTTTAAATGTGGAAGTATTCAATATTTCTAAGTTAGAGTCCTTAAAATGTCACTGTTTTTGACAAAGAGAGAAACTGGCCACAGTGACCCCTTCAAGGTCCCAACTGTTCCTGATGAGCTGGTGTGTGTTCTCCTACCAGGCTCACCTGTTGCTAAACAACCTCCCCCATGTCCTTCCTTTTAGATTATTTCTCAAGATGAAGCAGACAGAAGAGGGAAAGTATATGATAAATACATGTGCAGCTTTCTCTTCAACTTGAACAATGGTATGTTGATGAATTAGAGTGCATTTGGTTCCCGGGTTGCATGGGCCCCTTCTGGTGGCTTGAGTATCAGAAACGACATTAGGGGCCCCCAGTGTCTGCAGTGTTGGAAGGATCCCCGGCCTGGGCTAAGGAATGGGCTGTTTGCTGGGAAGCCAGCCAGGTTGGATGAGTGTAACTTGGGGGCGGAGGTGGAGGCTCCCTGAGCCGTAGGGGGTTCTGTGTGCAGGGAGAGATCGCTGCCCCGGCCCCGGGCCGTTCCTTGGCTTCACTGCCTGGCTCTCCTCTCGTGCCCCTCTTGCCACAGGTACCAGTCGGCTGGGCCCACCTCCTCCGGTTAGTGCCTCTGACCTGGGAAGGGTGTGGAGCAAGGCCTCGTGCAGCATCTCCACGACGTCCCTGGGGGTCCTCAGAGGACAGTGAGGGTAAAGGGCGCTGCGTGCAGACGCTGATCTGGGGTGGAAGACTTGTGGTGTAGCCCGGTCCCTGCTGGGGGTGTGCACGTCACACCCCAGCTGTGCGGGGGGCCTCTCAGCTGAAGCAGGTAGAGTGGGTTCTTTCATGAATGTGCTCCATAAATGGTAATAATGAAAAAAACTAATATAATTTAAAATGTGAAGGGAAGAATTTAGTTAGATTTTGTTTTCTGCCACGCTTTGGTCAGTAACACATATTTATAGCTGATACAACTGTCTGGAATCACTGATGAATTTTTACCTAGAGAACATTTTCTTCCAAATGTCATTTCATACTAGGTGAAGTTGGTTGAATGATTTGCTTTTGAAGGCAAACGCTGAAGAAGTATAACCAGTTGTATTTCCAGAATCACGAGAACTTTGTGTGTACTGATCTGTGTAGCTGAAATTGTTTACTGGATTGTGCTTATTTTTCCTCTTTAGATTTTGTGGTGGATGCAACCCGCAAGGGTAACAAAATTCGTTTTGCAAATCACTCAGTAAATCCAAACTGCTATGCAAAAGGTAGGTGTCCCCGGAGGTGGAGCTGCCGCAGGTTGACCTGAGTGGTTCTGGGTTGACACTTGTTACGTGAACGGTCAGCAACTCTCCTGGGCCGACTTCACTGACCCCGGCGTCTCTCTCTGCAGTGATGATGGTTAACGGCGATCACAGGATAGGGATTTTTGCTAAGAGAGCCATCCAGACTGGTGAAGAGCTGTTTTTTGATTACAGGTTGGTAACAGTACATTTCTAGAGTCACCAAGGGCTTTTCCTCTCTGGTCCAGCTCCAGGCTGGGGCTTCTGTCGTTAGAGGGACAGAGTTCTGGTCGTTATTTGTCATGGGCAGCGGTGGGAGTTTGGTAACGTAGTTTCCATTATACAAGTAATATGTCAAAAAAAAACATAGCTGCATTTTTACCTTTGGGGGTCCTTTCTGCGGGAAAAGGCACGCTGGCCAGCAGTCTCTACTTGTCAAGCTCTGGGGGATAAACTGACAAGTTCTGTAATTTTTATTTAAATGCACTCAGATGACTGTCTAGTTAAACGAATCCTGTGGCTGAATGTACATCCCATCCAGAAGCTGTTTCTCGAGTGCTGAGTTGTCGTAGACTAGGGCCCGTGTGTAGCCACTTTCAATGGCAAACTGTGGCACAGCTGAAGGCGAGATCTACCCAGATCTTTAGTGGGAGGTTACGAAGCCGCAGCCCCCCTAGCTCTGAGTGAGGGGCAGCTGGTAGACCTTCCTTTGGGTGCAATGTAGGTTCCAGCCGGCAGTGGAGGTCGCAGGTGCCTCTTCTGGCCTCTGTCCCGTTCTTTCTTCAAGGGGGGGGGGGGGGGCGGGGTGTGACCAGCTCTGGCTGCTCCTGGGCCCTGTGGACTAAGGGCCCAAGTCAGGGCTCTGCCGCGTCGCAGTTACTTTGCCTTCCCCGTGTTAGGCCTAAACACTGCGCTGTGGGCCTACCTTCGCTGGAGGTTGGTTTCAGGGGCACAGGGCTGGCTGGGGAGAGTACTGGGGAAGGGTTGTACTACCAGTTCCGTCCACTTTGCAACTGGAATTGGCCCAATGATGCAGCTGTAACAGGGTGCGTGTGTGCTTGTCCTTGTGGACGTGTGAGTGCAACACACTCAACTAAGCAGACTTGGCTGTGTTGGATCTCACCGCGGGCTGGAGGGCACTCACCCCTTTTTCTTGCTGTTTGTTTCAGATACAGCCAGGCTGACGCCCTCAAGTACGTGGGCATCGAAAGAGAAATGGAAATCCCTTGACGTCTGCTACCTCCCCCCTTCTCCTCTTGGAACAGCTGCCTTAGCTTCAGGAACCTCGAGTACTGTGGGCGATTTAGAAAAAGAAAATGCAGTTTGAAATTCTGAATTTGCTAAGTACTGTAAGAATAATTTATAGTAATGAGTTTAAAAATCAACTTTTTATTGCCTTCTCACCAGCTGCAAAGTGTTTTGTACCAGTGAATTTTTGCAATAATGCAGTGTGGTACATTTTTCAACTTTGAATAAAGAATACTTGAACTTCTCCTGGTCGTTGTCATCTGTCACACAGCTTCCTCAGCTGATTGATTTTAGAAAAAGACGACTGAGTCTAATGGGAAAAACATTTAACTCCTTTGGTTTTCCAGCAGCCATCCTACTTGCCTATTAGGCAAGTTAATACCAAATATAACAAATATATGCCTACATATAAACATACTACCAATAATACACGTTACAATTTAATAAGGGACTCACTGCTGGCATCTGAGGCCAGGGTGGGGCACGTCCCCGGCTGCTGAGAGGCCTGCGGCTACGTACCCTCTAAGCCTCGTTCTCCACGTGAAACAAACAACAGACAATCGGATGAAGCGACTTCTGAGAACCGGTCTAGCTCTAAATCCCACGAGTCTAGATACAGCCCTTCAGATAAGACGGGGATATAGCCAGACTAGGTTCATACCTCCTTGAAGAAGTAATAAGAACACCCTCTTTCTTTCTTACGTCCCAAGGAGGTGGCGCTGCTCCTCGGGCCAGGCGGCGGTGGTACAGTGATGCCGTCGTGGTGGGAGAGCCCAAACGGCTGTCGTCAGCCCGGGTGTGTAGCTGCCTCTTCTAGAGTTTGGTAAATTTTCATTGATTTATATAACGTCGTAATGGTTAACGGGAAGCTCAGTCAAAACTCACCTTCCTCTGCAGTTACACAGATGCTGAGAAGACTGGTTTCCACCGCATCCATGCACAAGCCATAGCTACCTGACCTGAGTCCTGGCATACAGTTCATGGGCCCCTTGGCTTTGGCAGCGAAGAGGCCTGGCCTTGGGGGCTAGTCTCGTGTGTCATCCGTGTCTTCTCTGCCACCCTGCTGGGATGTCCTGTCCCCACGCCCCACCCAGGAAGCAGGACCTGCACTCGGCCGCCTGTCACTGACCTGTTCACGGAGGGTCACCCCGCGTTTGCCTGATCACCGCACCCTGCCCTTGGCACTCAGCGCCAGCGGAGCCCGTCTGTTCCCTGCTGCACGTGGGCCTGTTCAGGGCGCCCCAGGGATGACTTGCCCCCAACAGCAGCTACTGACAGAGCTCATTCCAGCCACAACTTTTCTACTATGTGTAGCTCCCGACCTGTCCCCAGACGCCAACACCGGGAGGTGGGTCCTTGAGTTCAGGTAGGTTCTGCTCGTTTAATACACCAGAGACCCAAATGCAGCAGAAAGACAGCAGGTGTACTGAGGGACGGCAGTCCTTGCGAGCACCAGCTGGTGTGTATTCTCGGTGCACAGCAGGCTTTGTACCCTGATTTGCAATGTACCTCCAGTAACCTACCCACTGACCTCGTGGACACGGAGATTCTGACCAGAAGAAACACTGTTGACACGCAGCCACGGCTACATCCCGTGTGATCAAGAGCGTCCTTAGGTCCAGGCAGCTCTAGATCTTCCTTTATCTGTAATGGGGGAAAAAAGCACAGAGCTTGACACAATGTATTCAAATACCCAGTTAACAGAGAAAATTGGCAAAAGCTAAGTTTAAGTACGTGCTTTTCTCCCCTCCCCTTGCTCCCCTCACCGAGGTGGTAATTGACTTTGTATGTGGGTAAGCCTGGTGGTTAGTTCCCTACCAGGGAAAACAGACGCCTAAGTAGGATGAGATGAGTGTAATGAGTTATCACAAGATATGGATACGTTTCAAATAGTTTCCATGGTTTAGGGATACCACCCATTGTTCATTGAGGATAAAGAACCCGACAACAGGCTGCCCAGCTGGTCGGTGTCTGTAGTCCTGAAGCTTTTCCCCTGATGGTCATGAGGGCCCACATGTCTGACCGCAGTCCTGATGTCCAAATACAGGCAGCACCTCAGCCTCAGAGTAAACTGCCCCAGGCAAATCTGAAGGCGCCATGACAACACGGTTCCGTGTGTCAAAATTCTCTTCAATATTTTGTAATTTATAAAAAATTTATAATTATCTACCTGGAAACTGCTTCCTCTTTTTTTATTTTTTATTTTTTGGCTGTGCTGGGTGACATACAGGATCTTAGTTCCCCCGGCCAGGGAGCGAACCCGTGCCCCCTGTGGTGGGAGCGTGGGGTCCTAACCCCTGGACCGCCGGGGAAGTCCCGCTAATTATTTTTTGATATTGTCTGAATCATTCACCCTCCAGCCTTCACTGAATCCAGTCAGTGACTCAAAAGTCCCGATTTCCACCTCTGCCCCCGCACCCACCAAAAGTCAACTAACATCGTGTAATTTCGATTTGTAGATGGGTCGTCAAGAGGGATTTCACATGTGGACGTTTTGAAGAACGTAAGTATTCTGCCGGAAGTTGTATGAGCTTTGGGCTCTTACTGGAAAAAGCTCAAATAAATGCTTGCTTGTTCCTCCAACCTGTTACAAACAATTCCAGTGACGGGTGTATGTAGCACCTGGTATTAGAAATGGTCCAATACATCAAATCCGCACAGCTTTTTGTATGTGAACCGCACCTCCAGAAAGAGGTTTTATAAAAAACCATCCACACTCACCTATTATGACCAAGTCACTGTGCTGCTACTGGAGATGAAATTCGTGTAAATAAAATCAAATCGCCCAGACGAGCTATTGCCATTCCTAAAAAAAAAAAAAGAAATTGACTTCATTAGAAGGGGGATTCAGTTCAGATGGGTCAGCATGTTGGATTTTTTCATCTGGGTGTGGTAAAATCTTAAATTTCTTTCAAAGGAAAATTAGATACCTCAACAAATAGGTAGGCCATCTTAAAATGCTCAGTCAGTAAAAATATTTTAAATTCAGGTGCCTCTTGGTCCTGCATCTCATTCTCCCTGCACCTGTTACTTAGGCCTGTACTTTGGCGCCCCTGGCTGCTTCTCACAAAGGCACTGCCGGGTGACCGCCTGGCAGTTTGCATTAACGCAGACGTGAGGTCCAAGAGCCCAGCCCAGGAGAGAGAGGCTCCTGGCAGTGGGGCCCCACCTTGCCTGCTCCCCTCCCAGGCGAGAGAAAATGGTTTCCTCAGACCACGGTACCAGAGTGATAGCCTGGAACGTGGTTTTCCTTCAACCGACCAACTCCTGTGGGTTCTGCCAGGGCTGCCGTCCACCATCCCTCCCCCAGGGCATGGACTTCCTGTAGCAACTGTGCATCAAACAGCTTTCAGAAGGCCTGGGCATTTGTCCCTAAGTAGGTTCGGAAGATACTTACTATTGAAGTTACCCTGAAAAATGCAGGAAACTCAATTCTCATGGCTTGTATTTGGAGGCCCCGGCCATCCTTGTTGGGCTAGGATATGGTTTAGGGAATACAGGCACAAAGTCTTGAGCTGCTTTTTATTCCACACCCATTAAACAGGACAGTTACCAAGTGTGAGGGGGGTGGGGCGGGTACAGGTACTGAATCTGAGGATGGGAGGGAACCACCCAATCACCTACCGTCAGTCTGCCTTTGCCCACAGATGTCCTAGGTCTTACCAAAGGCACTCTTCATCCTGGAGGAACTCGAGACAGCAGCAAAATCTCACTAAAATTTACCTTCCCACTCTCGATGAGACTCAGACACAAGCTGGGCAACTGGCTCCGTGGTGGTTACTTACAGCACGTTAGTCGCGGAGGCAGATGGACTGCTGAGAGGAGAAGCAGAGCTGTGGTCCCAGCCAGGACTCGCGGGCAGTGAGGCCGTCCTCGGAGCCCCAGGGCACTGCAGGATCTGGGGGGGGAGGGACGGTCCCCTGGGGTGGTGGCAATGCTCTTTGCCTGGTTCACACTGGGAATTTTTTATGATTGTTTGAAAGAGAAGAATGTACTAGAAAAACAAAGAGTGGACACCATTACACAAGTGCTTAGTCTATTACTACTACTCCTTTTAATAACCTGTTTAACTTTTAATTTTTAAAAACTAACCTGTTAGGTGCCAGATTGGTCCAAGAAACTGTAAGGACTTAGCTTTGGTGTCTTCCTCTGGCCCTGCTCTTGGAACCTGGCCTCCGGGCAGGTAGGGACCGCACAGGTGTTGACAAACATGTTCACGTCTCACATCACGGGAGTTGCCTGTGGTTTATGGGGACCACGAAGCTCCTGAGACTGAGCCTTCCCCGGGGCCTCTGCTCCCACCTCCTGTTCCTTCTGTCCTCGGGCCGGCCGGGAAGTGACCGCCTGGGGGCCGAGTGACAGTGGTACATCGCCAACCCCAGGACCGCGGACGAGGAGTGACTGTCCTTTGAACAACTGGTCGGAAGCAGGAGGGAGGCACTGGTGGTAGACACGGTCCCCAAGCCGCACTCGTGACCAGCGCCCGGGAACAGGGGCCACTCTTCCCACGGGAGGTGTCGGGATGACCCCGTCCAGCCTTGCAAGCGTCCACAGAGAAGCCATGGGAGGCGCTGAGGCCTGGGAGCTGCCGTTCAGTCGCTGGAGGAAATCGTGGGGCTGAGCACAAGCATCGAGGAGAAAAAGACGACAAAGGGCTTAAGATGGGAAGAGCTTACAAAGGCCAATCTCAGGAGGGCAGCCCTTGGGGCCTCAGGAAGACACTGGGAATACCCGTTTGCACAATCATTATGTCTTTTATTTACATATAGAAATTAGTAAAACTTAAAAACAAAACCAAATGCGACTTGTACAGAAATCCTTTAATTTTCTTTATTTTCACACATTAAAAAATGAAACACACTATACAAATGGTTTTTCATAGCGGATTACACGTGGGTCCATTCAGACCTGCTCTCCAGGCGCTGCCGGCCTCCGAAGGGCCGCCCGGCCGGCCGCTGTCATTCACGTGGCCAATGGGTTGATTCGGATGCAGAAGCATGCAGCCCTCAGCGAGGAAGGTTCCATCCCCTCTGGTCTTAAATTAGCTTAAATGGCGTCGGTGTCCGTATTTACAGACGTGAAGTGTGGCGATCCTGAGCAGTTCTCATCGCCCTGAGCCCGCGATGGGAGCCTGGGCCTCGGGCCGAGCAGGAGGTCCGCGTGGCGCCGCCGCCGCCGCCGCCGCCTCGTCTCCATCCTTCCCACGGGACGAGGGGCTGCGCCGCGGTCAGACCCCTCCAGGAG